CCAATTAGCCAACCATGGAGGGGTGGTAGGCTCGACTGGCCTGGGCGAATGTCGATCCGTTATCTGATCCCCGGACCATGCATGTTTGGTTCGCGGTTTGGATCTTGTACCTCACAATCATAGTCTGGGCTAATTTTCTTTCAAATGCCCTAGCCTCCTAGTGAACCATGAACCTGAACGCGCACTCGCCCTCGTGTAAATCTTGGAACGGTAAACAAGATCTAATTATATTCGGCAATTTCTCAAGACGGAATCAGGAAAGAAGATTTCGAAAGCTGCTAAACTCTACGAATAGATGGTGGCAGCTCTTGAACAAGTCGTCGAGACTTCTCTCAATAAGATTAAGGTATAATGCGTCCGAGACGTGGAATCAACATTGGTGCATCGTCAACGAAGAGATTTGCCTTTGGAATTCGTTGAGGAATGAGGTGTGGATCTAGCAAAATCTTGTGTTTTTTGCTAGATTCGATTAAAGTCCTCTCTTTCATAAGTTCAAGCTTTGAGCCCTAATCTTCTCTATGGAGACGACTATGACTACAGGTCTTCTGTCCTTCATCCCTTCCATTTACCTTTGACTTCATTGACATTCGGTCAAAATCCTTCATGGGTACGAGTTCGCGGGGCATTGAACCTCTAGAGCGATCATTGTTCAAACGCCATTTTGGGATGCTCCATGAAGAATGCTTTGCTTGCCAGTTCCTTTCTAGTTCCTAATGACGCCAGAATGCACAGCTTACAAGGTAGTTAACTATAAAAGGGGAGCAATGGAATAATTATCGGCCAACAGCTTGTTAGGTATTCAATGCTGAATTGTTTTTGTTTTTCCCCACTACTGCAATGTCTGTATTGCATAGAATTGCTAGGAAAGCGAATCCGAGATTAGATGAAGAAATGGATGGGTAGCTAGTCATGCAGGTACGACAGAAGCATTCCTATCGAAAATTCTGATATCTAAACAATTCTAATGGGTTATTGACTAAAATTGTTAATAGACCCGCGTGGAGCTAAGCGACGCAATTTTCGGATTGGATGGAGTTGCAGCTTTTTCGTTTTGATTTATCGTGCAAACGGATGGATGGGATTATTTAGCCCGGGGGAAGCGGCCGGAAGGACCCCTTGCCTAGCGATGACGGACTCTTCAGCAAATTGCATTCGCCGTCGCCACCCTCCTGTTTCTGACGATGAACGAATTTTGTCCGACCTGCCGCCTTGGCTCCTTGCATGCATGTGTGTGTATGGTGTGTGTCATGTGTGTGTTTATGTATGTATGTAGTTTAGGTGTATGTAATTGTGTTTTTCGGTGAATGAGTGTGGATATGGGTGCGTGTGTGTGTAGTCAGCTATTGCCAAACCTCGTTTACATCTGCTCCACCCCTTTATAGGAGGCGCTCGGCTTCAATGACCTCACAAGGATTCGTTGCTGCATCCTGCAACTTCCGGACCCCTCTTTTCTTGAACCTTGCTTCTTTCATTGCCTTCAAATTCTTTTTGACGCTGAGCCTTGCTATTAGGACCTGCTTTCGAACGTCCTCCCCTTTCCTTTCTCCAATCTTAAGCGACTACAAAGGTGTATTCGATTTTCCTCTGTTTGGCAGACATTTGTCGATTCATCATAGAAATAGACCGATGCGTTCGTGCAGGTCATAGTCAGTGTAGCTAAGAGTGTGCTATCCTCCAAAAAGAGACATTCGTGGCTTCAATGACGCTCCCTCGTGAATCTGACTTCAGTGATAATTTTCCTCATTCCTTCTTCGAAAAGTATCACGCGTCAGTAAAAAAATCACAGCGTTCGAAGACATGTCCAATGGTAGACAGACTCGGCTTCATCTTATGAGATTATCCGAGCACTCAGAATTTACTTTTTACTCAGAATCGTACTTGCACAAGATTCTGAGACTCATACCTTTTTACTTGTTTCGTTGCCTTTCGTTCTTCGGTCCAGTGTGCGCATCAATTCAAAGGCAATTTCTAGTGCGATGAACGTTTACGCAGATGGTGCCGCATCATTTTTCAATCAACTTGGACTTCCTTGCAAAAAAGTGAAGAGTGTATAGGGAAGACTTCGTGCATACTGAAGCATTACGTAGTGCCGGCGAGCGAGGCATGCATTGAAAACGCGGTCGAATTCATTCAGTTGTCCATCAGAATCACACGAGGCGTGTAATCCCTAATTAGATGTTCCCATTTCAGCCGCTGACACACGTTGTCCAACATCATTGGAAAAGGGAAAAACCATCAGCGATAGCAATTGAAATATGCTTTCAGTTATCGTAGTTAAGTCGTACCGCACGGTACTACTGTTCTGCTTAGAGCCTCATTCGATACATTGAAAATGTCGTTACCTAAAGCAATTCCAAGAATGTTGAGGGTGGTACAACAAAAAAATGGAGATTGCTCGCAGATACTGAATGAACTGTTGCCCTACCTATTTGAGTAGGTTGTTCTTCGCGGTTACAAAACTGATTAGTGTGAATGTTGTTGAATTATAATCATACTGCAATTAGGTTCAATAACAAGTGAGCAGGACTGAGACATGGAGGGGTTATTTGAAGAATTTGGTCATAATAGGATGCTATTTAATATAAAGTGTTAAGTTTTATGGCACTAATCAGTCCCGCAGTCGTATGCGCCTTCTAATTCGACTTCCTTCCAAAAACACAGACGTTGGAATGCGTATTCTGTATTCCCCGTTAATACGCAGAATAGGGTTCCTATCGTTGCTGACAATTCTGGTAGCAATTGATCAGCTCATGGTGGATTAAATGTTTCTGGCCCTTGAACTTACGGGTTCCTGTTCCACGGATCTGATAGCGCGCCACTGGTACAATCTAACCTTTGTCACAATAGTAAGAGTTTGGAAAAGCGTCTATGTATCGAATGTTTGGCAAATAGCGATTAATGCAATTTCTCAGGAGCAACCTTGAAAACTCAATTTGCGATAATTTTAGAGTATCTGGTTTCGGACGAATAATGAAAGCTGCAGTCCAGAATAGTGCAAAGGCGGCGACGAAAACGCGAGAATTGGCGTATTCAGAGAAATATAAGCCTTCAACAAAGTAGTGAAAAGAGGAGTTGGACGAGATTGTGACGACAAAAGTTGCAACGAAGGGGTATAGACGAGTTGTCCAAGTGTGAATATGAGATCAGTAGCTCGCTACAGTGAGCTGCCTGTGTGCAATGTGTGTGTTCCGGTGCGGTTTGGGCCCTTATTATGCCCCTGTATAGACCCTTTTTGACCCCACAGCCTCCCTTGGACTGTCCTTGGTAATCACAGCACTAGTCCTAGCATGAAGCTCAAAAACCATCTCGATCGTGATGATACTATTAGAATTCTAAATACACGAATGAATGGTGTTCCCCTAAAGACCACGATTAAGAAAAAGAGTTGACTTTTTTTGATTACACGACAAAAAACAACAGGAAATGGTGGTAATTAACACTTAATTGCTTGTTCCTGGGATCCACCGCATTTCAATTTCTCAAATAAAAATTGATCAGAGCTTGCTTCTATGCCTCTTTGTTGAAGAATTCTCATTGGCATTTTAATCGACGCTTAACAACTGCATCAGGAATGCGTGGGAGAATCATTGTTGTATCGATTCTTATATAACGATGATCATTTCCATTGTGAGTGGAACGCAGGTATCTAATCTCAAAGTAGAATGGAAATTTTTTTGAAACTTATCGAGCGATTGCCATGTACAATCAGTTTATCCCGTCCGTTGAAGCGGTTTTCTACTGAGTCGACATAAATCTGTCAAGAAAGCTGATATTCAAGTGCACCGCTAACGTCGGAGCTCTTTCGTTCACGGGCTCGCCCTATTCTTTTCTTTCCTGTGGAATATCCGAAGATCCGGTACTATAAGCTGTCCCTGAGTACCTAGTGGAATTATTGAATTTTCTGGAGTCGTGTGTCACAAGAACGTTTTTGTTTGATCAATCCCGTTTGAGGGTTGTGCCCCTCACTCAACTTTAATTCATAGTCGTGGTGGCGTATTGAATACGTGTGCGGCCCATACAACGAAATGCTGTGGTCAGCCGATGTACAAATCAGTGCTTTATTCTTCCAGACGAAGCGGTTCCAGTTAACCAAAATCGGAGGGACGGAAGGCCTCGTTGGCCCAGGCGGATATCGATCCAGAATACAATCCTGTGGCGCGTGTATGACAGGCGCCACTTGCCACTACATCACCTCCACCCGTTATGAAATGAAATGACATGGGCACTTGAATTTTAGCAAAACTGCTGATTCCCTTCTCTGCCCCCTAAAATTGTCTAATTGACACTGTCTAGAAACACTCCGATTTACTCTGAACTCCATAGAAAGAATTACTATAGACGGTTACTCCTTCCCTTCATAAGCAATCGGGTGGGCAAGATTCAAAGGGCTTTCTTAGTAGTCCGTCACGCTCTTCATGAGGTCTTAACAGGACCACGAAGGCAGATTAAACTTTCGAGAGCTGGCCCCTTGGGAGAAAGAAAGAACGCTTTTCATAGACCCTAGATCGATAAACGCACTCACGGTATTTTCCTTCCATTCCATTTAATTATTTAGCAAGCTCGTTTCATACTTTCCAATTTTCCATGTTTTGCAGCTCTCAGATATGTACTTTGAACAGTCATATCGTTCTGATCTATCCCCGCCCGTTTCCGTCCGTTCATGTTTTCCACCGAAATACGCAAGCCATTAGCCCATTGGCTATCAGCTGACTTGCACTATCTGGAGTGTAATTTTGCCACTTCAAGTAATTGCTCACACTTTTAATGAATCATTTTAAGGTCGAAATGGCTATTCGAATAGAGCTTCCCAGTTGCCGTCAAGGCCAAGAGGCAGAGTGAGGGGGGGGGGGGGGCGGAGGGTGTGGGGGGACTGCTGAGAGGCGGTACCACCATATGTTTGGATCAGCTATTTGATTCCACGTCGTTTGGGTCTTTTGCCCCTTGTAAGGGAATCAATAGTAACAGTCCCATTTATCAAAAGACACTGGCTCATAAGCACATTAGCCTCGGTTGTCTAATTCTTGCAAAAGCCAAATTTCGAATCGATATTCGAATGTCACGACGGTTCCCGATGCATTTTGCTGCTCCAAAGGATGGATAACTCTATACCTCGACTTTGAGTAACTAAAGAAAATGTATAAATAGCAACCAAGTTATGCTACAAAATAGAGGACAAAAAAAAAGACATTCTGAAGTCCCTAACGGTACTATGCAAAAAGCAATAGATGGGCTAGTTGAGGTACCGAATAAAGAAACCTTTAAGGATCACTTACTTCGGTACCAAAAAGAACGTTCGCCCAACTCCGCGCTCTCCTGCTTCTTGTGTGGAGTTCGCGTGCCGCCCACGTCCCTTACCGAATCTGGACGCTCTGTAACGTCTCGATCTTCATGAGTGGAGTCCTGCTCTGTGTGTTCGAGTGACCCGGTTCATCCCCCTCTTCTTTCATCTTGACCACGTGAATTGACTTTCGCGACTCAGATCACGCTTCTATGGCTACGCCCCCTTCATCCCCCCACCCCCAAGCGATTGGGATCCATTAAGTCATAAGGCGTCACTTTCTATTTCAATATGCCATCAAAGTGTTAACCTGCCGTGTGCACTTGTGGGGAACGACCTGGGTCCAAATTAATATTTTTCCACACACGCCACGCCCCTTGTAGGCGGAATCTAGCCCTGCCACCTGCCATCAGTGCTCCCATACTGCTACTTGTATTCCTACCACATTTGAACGCGCTAGGCCTGCGGGCGCAGGAGTTGTTATGACTTTCCGGTCGAGCACACACTTCCACACACCGACATACACACACATAAGACATACAAACACACACACACCGACGAACCAATAGACACACTTAGCGCATTATATGTAGTACGGTACCAGAGACCGCTTACTTCCTCTTGAATTGATTAAACGGAAAAGAAATACAAAACTATTAAACTAATTGAGAGAAGTACATTTCGAATGAGATACGATGCATAATAGTTTACAAATCGAAAAAGGACCTTTTCCCACTCGAGATAAGCCAAAGCTAAGGAGTGTCGTGTCTCCCCGCAATCAGTCACTTTTTTTCAACTCCAATTATTTCACCATCGTGCATCGCTTTCAATCGCTGTTTAATCAATGACTTTCTCAAGAGGAGAAAAACCACTCGCTAATCCATTTTTCCAACACCTCATTATCCATTCAACGGAGCCTCTCTAGCAAAGCCTTCCATCGTGGCTATCTGAGGGAAAAGGCAATTTATTTTTTCACGACTTGCCGATATCCAACGCTTCGGCTCAGAGCCAGTTCTTTAACTATCCATTTTTATCTACGATTATATTAACATATAAATATAAATATATATATATACTATTATATTCATCTACTCCTATCTATTTCAATGTCAATTTCTTACACTGTCCCTTATTGTCGTTCGAAACCGCTTGCAGCTGCCTGCGTTAGCATGGCATTGATTGCTTTCATTCAGAACTCTTTTCCCTGCTCCTTAGTTTGTGCACAAGAAAGCTGAAACAGCGGAGCTCCAGGAATTAATGAACATTACACCCATCTTCTCCATTTTTAAAAACTGGGCATTACACTTTTAGGTAGTCAGTGTATTTAGAACAAACAAGTTTTAATAATGAAGCAGTTATACCGTATGAAATCAGTAAAGTCGTCCTTATTTCATTATTGAAAGTGTTTCGAAACTTTTCGAAAGCACCCATCACGCTTGGCACAAACTTTTTTTTTAAATAGTTGCGGTGAAAATGCAGGTTGGGGAACATCACAATGTTAGTATTCAATAGGAGAACGCAGTGTTACGTGTTATTCAATGTTACACCCCAGGGACATACAAGTTTTTGATAGCCTCAGGAGGGCTATAGCACCGGGATGGGGCGAGTTTCCAGCTTTTCGCACGAGATAATCATCTCAACCCTATACTCCTGCCATCTTGAGGCTTGGTTTAAAAAGTGAAATTCTCCTCGTTTGAACCGCATAAGAGTGCACAGATAGCCGGAGCATTTCAGTGACGGGATAGTGGTCCCGACCTCACAACCACGGGGCACTTACTCGGGCATCAGAAGAGATCCATGTCAGGGATATAAGGCAGGCAGCCACGGCTATCCTTGTGCACTCATTTTTGTTATTCATGTATGAAATTCGGAACCGTGCACTTAATGTCAAAGTCATAAGCGGCATTTTCTCTTTTGTACTTGCCCGTGCGGCAACCAAGCCATTCCTTTGATTTTCTTGAAAAATGTTTTTTACATGAACGTATACAGCAGCCTTCCAGGTTCTCAGACTGTTCAGGGGAAAACCAGCCTCATAAAGCTCGCATTACTCAAGCTGGGAACAAATTCCATTAGACCGACATCGGTTTGATTTCAAAGAACATCCACTTGCAACATGAACAAAGCTCAGAAAAAAGCAAGGATGGAGACCGTTGGAAACGACAAGTATCAACACACATCACCGAAGACTATTTGGAGTCTTAGGTCCTCATAGAGACCGAAAAAACTGGCAAACTGACCTTCTGTAGCTATGGGAAGTATACGTCTCTTGTCCATAGGGTGTCATACGTCCGCTTACGACGCTATGAGCAGGTGTGACCGGTCTTGAACTCCTGTCAAAAAGTCTTTGTACAGCAGGTTTTCTTTTTTTCTTATTCCAAGAATTTTCATATTTAACAATTGAAATTCTCAATTTTCGGAGTGAAAAACGATCAGGACGAAGGGCGTTATGCAAGAGCCACTCTTCCCAATAAGCAATCGAATCGGGAACGTCAAACGTCATAATTGACGTCAAATAGAATTCGCTTCTCTGAGGATTCGCTCCGAGCCCTCAGAGAAGCGAATTCTATTTGACTTCAATCATTATTGTTATTGTTATTATATACTATCTTATATTCAATTCATATCGAAAAGACTCTAGAGCACCCATGAGTTCATCGGGTTGTCCACGGCCAGCCGCCACATATGTACATAGGTGGAATGAGTTAAACAAAAACTACTACGTACGCTCTTGATCAGGAGTCGAGTATGAAGCCCCTGACAAAACGAGATTCACAAATGTCAAAAATTTTGTCCTTCATACTATAATTATGAATGCTGCCGGTTTTTTTTCGGGTTGAAGGATAGGAATAAAATCTTTGGACATTAAACAATCCCGTCTGAGGGATGCGCCCTCACCCTCTCCACCTGCTTCAACTTTCACTCAGAATCGTTGTGGCGTATTGCATGCGTATGTGGTCTATAAAATGACTTGCGGTGGCCATGCGATGTACAAGCTAGTGATACTACCCTCCCAGACGAGTCTGGTACCACTTGACCGATCCCGGAGGGATGGAATGCTCGATTGGCTTAGGCAGATATCGGTTTTGAAATAAAGATTAGGATTTGAAAAATAACATGAATCATGTTCTAAGCAATTTCGCAAACTCGTGACGACGGTACGCTTTCCGCAGCTTTACCAAGTACGGTAAGCTACTGGTCGCAAAAATTGTGCGCAGACACACGAGAAATTATGAAGCGGCTCTGTGAACAGTGGTCCATATGGTTGCAGCTTTTCTGTCTTCCATGAGTCGGTAAAAGAATTTCAATTCAAAAAATTGAAATAACAATGGGTAATATTGTTCGCAGGGGTTCTTGAGAGATACCTGTTGATTGTGTCTCGCATCCGTTCAGCTTCTTCCAACGGTGTAAATACTGGCCTTCCCATCATATATTCGGATGGTTTTGCTCTGAAAATAGCGGCAAATAAATTTGATAAATTGGAAATGATTCACCAGATCCCTTCAGTACAATTTTCAGGAAGGGCGAAGGAAACCAAAGATGAAATCCTTTTTCACTTCGGTAAGGCTCTTGGAAAAGCATGTCTCAGTTCATGAATTCCATTTCTCGAAAGTGATGTAGATGCTAGTGGTGCACTACAACATACGATTACAATCGGCGATTAAATTTCTGATAGACATTCACCCGAGCCAATCAAGCCCTCTATCATTTCGGGATCGGTTTATTGCTACCAAGCATGTCTGGGTAGACATAAGCAGTGACATCGGCAGTGCACCGCAAGTTATTATAAAGACCACACTGTTTGTGTGCGCCCATTTCGAGGCGGAAAGCCTGAATTGGGCGCAGCAGAGGTGTATCCCGTACAAAGATTTTTCGGATCGAGAGTATAAGCCACTCATGGTTTCTATAATGAGATATGCTCACCTGAACACGTACTGGGCCTCGTTTTCGTTAGCATCGTCCAATCGGCTAACAACCTGTTCAAGCTTCCGCATCGTAGGACCAACGCTACTGGCCCGAAAGGGGGTCGCCGTAGCAGAGCGATCGTACCTACTGGAAAAGAATAGAACTAAAATATACTTCAAATGCATAACTGGGATATAAACCGGTTCTGCGCTACGACCGGGAGGGGTTTATATTTAGGCACCTTCTCCCACCTCTGAGAAGAACAGTAAAGTAAAGGTTTAGCACCACTTTCTGAATATTTTATTGAGAATTTGTTTGAAGAGCCAGTGTTTCTAGAATGCTGGGCTCAGGAGGGGAGAGAGATGGAGAGGAGAGCATAGATAGACAAATCAGCCCTGCACCATATGTGCTGTGTCCCATTTTTTATCGAATACAGTTCTATAAAACAAACATCAGCTGGCAGCACTGATTACCAATTGCTATTTTTTCATTAATAACTGGAATGAAAGACACACTCTCAGAATCAAAACCGGGTACAATCGATCCGATTAGGGGGGAATTAGGGGGGAATACGCGAACCTTTCATTGTCCTGTGTTTTCCACTGTGCCATATCGGGATGGCAGCTCTGTGTCATTTCTCGTTGAACGGAGGTCTCCTTCTCCATTCGCATTTTCTGAGTTCCTGAAACGATCGTTGTTGCTTGAGTTTTACCACTTTCCGAACACTTACTTATCTTAATTTTCGCTAATAAGTCCTGATACATCGTTAGCTTTGTGTTTATTCTGGGAAGAAACTTACCCAACAAGTCATAGATCTCACCGTGTAATTCAGCCATCACATCGGCTGGCAATTTGCCGATTCCTGGTGGTTCCTTTTTCGTAGTGGCGGAGAGAGGTGAGTTGTATTCCCATGGATCTACACTCGTTTCTTCTCTGCCATTTATATGATCAAGTCGAATTGAACTGTAAGGTGGTGGAGGAGCTGGTGGAGGTGGAGCATGTATTGTGGTTTCGTCTTCATTAGAACTGAAACAGTGATGAAGATCTTTTTGCTCCGAAAGGATTTCCACAAAAGTAATAGTGTACTAACAAAACGTCCACACCTAGGTACATATTACTGTTTAAAGCCTCACCTCGTATCCCTATATGCTACATCGAGACTGGTGTCAGTGAATTGGTGCGTCGATGGCCCTGGAGCATCTTCATGTTGCCAGAAAGGCTCTGAAGTGAACTGAGTTTGTCGAGGCATCGCCACGGGGGTGGCAATCTGCTGTTGAGCGGCTGACTCTGTAGCGTACATCTGTATGCGTTCAGCCGGTGTCGGGTGCCCGCGATGCCTTGGCTGCCCGACCTCCGGAGCTACAGATGGAATACGTGTCTGATCGAACTGCGATTCTCGTTGCTCCGTAGACTCTTCTGGTTTGAAGTCCACTCTGTTAAACGACGGTGGGTCTTGGTCGTAAACTTTGAAAGGTTTTGGTGCGGATGAGTGCAAACGTTTCGATTCTACATTGGGCCAGAACATAGCTCTGACAATAGCCCATAAACACTGCAGAAAGGTGACTAAAAGTTTGATTACTTGACAGGCGATTCTTTTACAGAGTCGTCCAAAAAGTGTCGCATAATAGAGAACAAAGTCTTGGGCCATCGCAAGCCATTCCGAAATTCTGCTCGGGACGGATTTTCTCGTAACGCCGCGATGCTCGTAGTTCTTTGCTGCGCAGGATGACAGACTAGATTTCTGAGCAGCCCTCTGTTCCTGTTCAGTTTTCCTAGCCTCCACACAGCAATTCTTCAATGTTTCTACGGAGTATCGCTCACATTTCCAGTTCGGATTTCCTCTGAAAAAACATCTTTATGTATGTTACACTTGCGTTGGCTATGAGTTCGAATATGTTCTTCTTTTGCCCTTTCTCTGAGGCACCAAAAATGCTAGACAATCGTGAAATCAAATTATTGTTTCTCGTTTTCTATTTACAATCGCACTACCGCTTCAAAAAATAAAAACTTAGCGAAGGAGAACACCATAACTGATAGGTGAGAGGTTGCCAAAAAATCTACGAAAGTAGATCGCCTCTAGGACAGCTTTGTATTGAAGGGAGGTTTTGCTAGTTCAAAATTAAGCCTTATATAGTAACAGCTCTCACTGCTTCTTTCACAACTGTCTTTTGAATGACTCGAGACTGGGGCGACAAAAAGCCCATGGAGCTGCAATTTGCAAGCAAGGGGGTGAGAGTGGTCATGGAACGGACACCTGAACCTTCCATGTAATTTGAACATTGAATAGCTTACTACAACACAATATGCGAATTAACTGACCATTCTATTTCCCTAGAAGCCTTTACCAAAAGTACGGGAGCCATCTCAAACCACTTTTCTCTCCGCTTCCATCTTTGTCTCGTCCGCTTTCATGAAGATTGAAGATGCAGCATCAGACTGGACCTGTTTTCTTGACCTTACTCCTCACTTCGAGTAGATTTCTCTCTTTTCGGGGACTTGCCCATAGGAATCGGAAAGTCATAAGAGGGAGCGAGAAAAAGCAGTAGCGTTCTAAATTACCGACACATAACTTTTATGAACTTCTTCTATGACAGCTGTGATCGAATCTGTACACCTGCTGCAGCAGCTCAGGGGGGCTAGCGATCTTGAGTAGCTGACTTATGCTGCTGCTTCACCGATACGCAATCAAAAAAAAGGGACTCGATGAGTTTGCATTCTCAATGGTCTGCTGGAGTATAGGATCTGAAAGGCAGCAGAGGCTTCAGAAACTCCAAGCAATCCTTCTTTTACGTTTATTCCTTGCACAGATATCTCCGCGATATTGACTCGAAATTCTTTCGCGCTGTGATAAGCTTTTAATGGTGGTCTTCTGGAGTAACTTCCTCGTCCCCGTACTGCTACTGTTCCTTGATTGGGAATTTTCAACTGGAAGCAAGCTCAAGCTTGCTAGGAAGCCAGTCCCCCAGTGTTTGCACCTTCTGATCGTCTTTCCCTACCACTACAATCACCAACGGGTTTCATTCACACTGTTACCTCACAACCGAAATGTATCACTAAGAATCCTCAAATTTTCCCTAGATCCGCAATGGTCCCTTAAAAGTTCAGGGTAGATGAACGTGGTTTTACATAGTTTAAACAAGAAATTAAATACTACGAAGTTATGTGTGGATATTTTATAAAACGCGATAACTGGCATTTGTGATAGTTAACTATTACCACAGCGATAATGAGGACACTTTCGGCCACAACAGGTTCAATTGAATTGAAGGGCAACATTGCGGTCAGATTCTAGAATGAGTGCTATGCATGTATAAGGCAAGAACCTAACAGGAAAGAAAAACACGAAAAAATCGGCATATTATTTCAAGTAGGCATATATTTTTGAAGTCAGAAAATTCCCGTTAAAATCGATGACCTTTTAGCGAGCGGGTTTACACTAGAGACCAATTCACGGCAATTTTGTGTCATATAGTTTTAGACTAATAATAGAAGTAATAATCAGAAAAGTGGATAAGTATCTGAGAAAACGCGAAAACCTGAAAGTTTGGAAACATGTAAGGCGTCAACAAAGTAATAAAAAGAGGGGTTTTGAATCATGGTAGCCCGTACTCAGAAGATCTAGTCATATTGCAGGTACTCGATTGAATTGAAACGATGCCTCCGGACAATTTGCATAAATTCCTATTTGTTCCTGAGTCAGAACGGGTTCACGAAAATCGTTTAAATAATCATTTGCTCATGATGCAAATACTATTAAATATCACAACAGATTTCCATACTGGAATAGCTAATATTGCAGACTTTGAAAGATGCAATTGATGGTTTCACCCTAAATAATCACCTAAGTGCTAAATGCTCTGAGGATTAAGCCCTCGGGGCTCCAGTATATGGTAACAAAGCGTGCAACTTGGTACGATTCCAACGACGAAAGCTGTTATCGTGGGCTGAATAATTGTAGGACATTCATAATGGGAAAAACAACCCTCCCAGCTTCTCAGTCCGACTACACCAATGTGTACGACGCGTTCCCAGTCGCCATCCTCATACTCACCAGCCAATCTGTTTACGCTAATCAGATTTGAACAGGAGGCTGCATTCACTTACTGATCAAGTAACATGAGAAGGAGCCAATTGGCGGATGCCTTCTGAATTCATCCAGTTCCGGCCTCCTCTCATCCTATCCTATCAAATCCACGACAAAAGTTTCCAATAGCTACTCGAATCACAAGAGTATGTTCCAAAACTAGAGTAGCTGGTTGAATTGACCCACAGGGTGTCTCTAATATGATTTGGATTGAAATTCTTTACATGCTAAACTGTTTGGAGATTTGACTGATATCCAAAGAAAAGCCTTCATTATTCAGTCCACGACAACGGCTGGCAAAATTCAGGGATGGCGATAAATCAGTTGGCCCAGTAGGAGTTCCGAGCGGCGCAGCAAATACCTCATACCTACCGCAATATGCCCATTCATTTTTCCGCCTTTACATTCACGATACAAAAAATTATGTTTACTGATTGAGGTGAAATCACTAACCTTTCAATCTCTCTCGTAGTCATGGAAAAATTACATTACACATGTGAGATCACTGTACTTAAGAGCCCAGGATTAAGTCTTCAGAGATAATCAATCCTGTCTGTGGCATGCAACCCTCATTCGACTTCCATTCGGAATCATGTGGCGGTTTGAGTGCGTATGTGATCTATACAATGACTTACGGTTGCCAGCCAATGTTCAAGTCAGTGCTTTTATTTCCCAGATAATTCCGGTACCAACTAAGCGACACAGTCTGGGTATATATGATCTGGGATTCGATCCTCTGACCTGACGTGTATGATAGTAACCCGCTTACCACTGCACTACCCCTGCTCTACTGTACATTACTAAAGTGAATGATGAGTTATAGACTACTTGATGAGGGAATTCATTCGAAAAAGCATCAAAGTCACTTCCACCCAATTTACCTGTTCAAGAAAGAATCTAGACAAAAGCGAAAATTGTCTCTAAAAGTTTTCCAATGACATTCATGACTTAAGAAAGTTTATTCAAAAAATCTTCCATAAAAGGTAGGGCTTTTGCCGAAACAAAAGAAATATATGAAGTCATCTTTTCTCTCCACATGAATGTAATCTTGCAAGGTGGTGGAATAGGAGTAAAGGAGGACGGCCATTGGATGACCTTGCAGCTACCTTGAAGCTTTGAACTACTTGCATGTTCATCCTCCATCCACCACGTTTCGAGAGTCACTCTCCCGACAAATATGCTCTCCTTTTGATTTCTTATCTGTAGCTTTAATGTATGTTGATTACGCATGAAAAGTATTGTTAGCATTCGTTCTCGTTTCATAGAGGTTGATTGCATGCCTTGTGAATTCTTCCTTTTTGCTTTCTCACACAGGGTGGTATTCCGAGCACATTATCTGGAGGTCTTTTTTTCATAAATGAATAAATAAATAGCCAACCAGTCAATTAGGGCGGAGGTGCCTAAGTGGCAAGTGGCGCACTATCACACACGAGTTCGAAACGCGGATCGATATCCGCATAGAAAACCAAGACTCCCAGACATCGGGGGTTAGTCAATTATGAAAAAATTGGTCTGCAAGGAGAATCTCAGGCTCGTACATCGGAAGGCCATCGCAAGTCATTGCATAGGCCGCATTCCGAAAGCAAGACTACGATTCTGGATGAAATTCGAAAGCGGGGGCGCATCCCTCAGACTGGGTTGATCAACGCCCAATAACTTTACACGGGAGAGGACAGGAAAAACGCCCATCAGCTTTGCACGGGAGAGTACAAGAAACTTTTCTTCAGTGGTGCCACAGCGGCCTTCCACTTTGCTACTTATTTTCTAATCGAAATAAAGGAGGGCAGGATCTACTTTCATCGCCAGGATTACACTCGAACCATTCAGTGCTCGCTTTGTTTTTGACAGTGAGAATTGCTAATCGCTGCTGCTGCGGAATCCTAGTCTGTTGAATAACATCGCAGCAGCTGAACCAAAAACTAAGGTGCTATTTAAAAAATTTTCAAAAATGTGATTCTGGCCCGAGGATTTTGTGCTGGCATAGTTCTCACTCTGATAAACGAGTGAAAAAGATAGCCTGATGAAATACTCACTTCACAAGAAAATAGAAGAAGTAAAAGACCGTCCAGAAGGCCTGTTTCATCGTCAAGATGACTCGTTGACCGAAGTCGGCGACAGTTTGACGGCATTTTGCCAGCATCGTTCGCGTGGCACCAGGACGACAATTACCTGCTGCTGCCACAGGTTGAGGAAAACGAGGGAGTCGTGAGGAGTGCCTGAGGGTTGCTGGCTGGAGAGCAACAGCAGAAAAGCCTGACTGGCGTGCTGGTCGGCTATGAGGGCGAGAGTGGTTGTGTAAAACACGCACGACGACGATACCTCACTCCTCACTCGCAGCATTCAATCCGAAAATATGCTCAGAACGCTCATTACATGCTTGGCAGGCATTTTAGGTGTGGGAAAAACTATCTGCCAATGGAGCAGATTTCAGCAGAGTAAAAGGAATCTAGTTATATCAGATGGCTAACAGCATCTGAGCGCTTTGACTCACCATTCCCACCTATTAATGACCTACTGGCCAGCTACCGTTTATGTATTATACGACGCTTTCGAAACAAATTATCAAGCTTCTGTTGAGTTGAGCGCTTCTATGCCTAATGCTTTCTATTCCCCACTTCCTTTGACACCCAGTTAAATCAGCCACCCTAAGCTTTCACTCGGCTCATCGCCTTCCCCGCACTCTTGGATGTTTTGGAATCAGTAAAGGTCGTTTTGTCGTCGTGTCGGCCAATTCTAAATGCGGCTAGAAAAAGGAATAGTGGAAAGGTAGGTGGCGTATTAGAAAAATCAAAAGTGTTTGGTCTATCATATCAACTCTTACGTTCTCTGGGTGATTGAAGTGCGCTACCATTGCCAGCAAACACTGCTGCCTACAGTTGGAACAACAGGTTTGGACGCCTTCATTGAATAACTATTATATGAAAGTCTAGAAGTTTTTTTTTTAGCGTTAACCAACTCCGGCTAAGAGAAGCCCGTCCGCATTCGTCTCACATTCAAAATCGTAGTGTTGTGTTGAATGCGTAAGTGGCGTATACGATGACTGGCGATGGCCAGCCGATTCACAATTAGTGCTATTGTCCTCCCGACGAATCTGGTACTGATTAACCAACTCGGGAGGAATGGAAGGCTTGGTTGGCCTAGGCGGTTGCTAAGCCCGGATCCAAACTCGTGACAATGTGTGTGCTAGTGCACCACTTCCCTCTACTCCACCTCCGCCCCAACTATTACATATCCTCAAGCAAATACGTCAAGTTTTACTGCTGAAACTTCGTCCGACTTCTTTCACTTTTTCAAGGCTCTGATTTATTCTTCGACACGTCATATTTTTCCAACCCATCTTGTACCGTTGGGAATTAAAGAGAACAAATGAGCCGAGAATCTAAATAAAAGCGTACCTTTACAAGTTCGTCTCAGAACCGATAGTTCTTAGAACTAGCTGCTAAACTTTCGTGAAACTTTTTATTTGAGAATTTTTTATGCAGGTTCCGTTATGAATGCTTGCAGGAGATGGACATTCCATCCGCGGAAACGTTTTTCGTTGTTATTGAATAGAAATCAAATTGCGTAATGACGCTCGAGAGAGTCGACTAAGCGTCTTAAAGTGGGTTAAAAGCGCATGTGCATAGGGGATACCCCATGTGCTGCAGGTGCAGGGTTATGCCGCAATTCTCGAAATCGACTCCACCTCATTACATCAAACGGATGAATCACTACCCAAACGGCGGGGTCGAAAGAGTAAACTTCAATATGAGAAAAGAAACCGAATAAGGCAGAATGGCAACCCACAAATGTAAGATTTATGTATGTATGAGAGGAACGGAAAGTTGGTATCAACACAGGCTCTTACAGTGACCTTGTTATTAAATAAAATGCATGGGACGAAAAAATTCATCAGCAACATATTTCCTTCGATGGCTTTACCCTATTTGAATACACAAATTCTCACCAGGCTCATATGAATGCGATGAAAAGGGACCTTGTGCAAGTAGATGGGTAGGTGGCGCGTTGCGAGGAGGTTGGCATTGCAGCACGAGCACGCGCCCGGACCCAAGCCGTATTGCTGCAAAGGTCGAGTGCCCTACTGAACTTTCGTTTCTGCTTATGCATGTAGGTCTATGTGATCGAGTTTCCTCATTGAACCGCTATAGAATCTTGACCGAAAATTGGCGCCAGTCCAAAAGAGACACTCGAATTCAACATAGGGCCCACGTTTGATTACATAGTCATAACTCTTCTAACCCTGGGCTGTTGAATGGTCATAGAAGATAATATAATGGAAGTGGTTACTCTTCCCCTGACAACAGGAACTCTTGACGAAAGGTTGAAACCTAGACACCTTTATTGGATGATTGGGGATGTGAGATCGTGGATGCTTGGTAGCAGGAGCTGATAATAACTGACAAGGGTTGATAAGGAGCTCAGAAAGGGTGAATCGGTGACTCCGTTCGGTTGATAGTGAAAGCTTGACACACTGACGAGTGGAATTTGTCGGGATTGTAGATATTCGGTGAGGAAGAAAATGACCGATAAGCGCTGGTAACTGCAATCAGACTACTTCCTCTTTTCGTATGACAACGGAGCATTGCTACTTCGTGTGTTATAGTAGTTCACTCGGAGATGTTGTGGCTGACTCTGTTGATTTTTTCATGCTCACAAAATCGAAGACTAGAGCGAGAACAATCAAACTGAAGCCATCGGTAGTAGGGCAAAGGTCGGAGCCTAAACTCTTGTTGTCAGAGTGCTACCTTTGTTTAACAAAATCTTTGATGAAGATACTCTGTGCTTGTCTCGCTGAATGTTCTATCTGACAGCATCAATTCGGTCGATGCAGAGGTTCCCAGAAATCTGCTGAATATGATCGATTGCCTTGGCTATAGCTGTTGTTTTACTTCCAACGTCCGCGAATCACCTGTATCACTTGTCATCCCGTTGATCTCTTCAAATAGGTGCCAGTAACGTCTCCATTCGTCCCTGTCGCGAGCCAAAGTGGTCCATTGAATCGATCTCGCTTTAGAGACACAAGGCCCAGCATTCCGTTCGTTCAGAACTTCCGTGAAGAAGTCTGACCATCGCGTTGGTGCCGTGCTAGTGTTTGCTTGACGTCGCGATAGATCCAGTCAGTGATCGCCCTGGTTCAACGGTCATCACAATATCCGTACAAGTCTCTGGGGAGTTCGTTAAAGCAGGAAGGATAGCAGTGTTGGAAAGGTGAGCGCGGAGCCGGGTGTTTTTGTCTTGTTCACTATACCTCGATATCCTTGAACGCTCCCCATGCGGCTGTTTCCTTCTGCTCAGCTCCGGAACTAGGAAAGGAAATAAATTTCTTCATCATGTTCGCGAATAAATAAAATATAGATGAGTATAGGATGCTGCTGGATCGCAAACAGCAGATTACAGGAAGAGGTAACAGCTGATTAAGGCTGGTAGAGCAGGTTGATACAAGGATGGATCGATGTCAGCACCACATAACAGGAAGGAAGTTTTTTTCTCCCCTTCCTACCAGCTACAAGGTTTGCGTTTCATAAGAAAGCACGTACTGTTCTTATCCCGATATAAATCGCCGCAAACCTATCCGAGCACCAATAATCTGAGATTCTCGGGCAATGATTCATACGCATGAAGATGGGGAGGGCTGTGGGTATCATCACTCGACAACATTAGTGAGCGCTGTTCAAGAATTCGGGTGACTTACAAGGTTGCTCAGTTGTAGGAAGGTCAGTGCGTCAGCAAAGCCAATGAAGGAGAAGAATGAATTTCTAGTGGACAGCCATTGTTGAATCGAGTGCAACAGAGGATTTTTTGAGCGTAGACCAGTTGTACTTCCTACGAGATTGGAGGATTACCCTTCAGAAATTTTTAATCCGAAATAAATCATTCGTTTTGGGAAGAGGAATGGAGGGTCAAACCTGTATTTCAACTTTGTAAAAGGAAGAAGGGAATGCCGACTCAAGCCGGGTAGTAACACCGGCTTATTCCTATTTCGCAATTTCGCGATCTATCATTACTAACCCAACCAAGCCGACCACAGGCTTCCACAGGGCCAGCAGAAAAAAGAAGAAAAGCTAAGTTGTGAGACTGCGAATTCGACTTGCGCTGGCTTAAGAGAAGAAAGAGACGCTGAACTGGTTCAAAAATTTCTGTAAATTTCGGTTATCGAAAAGTGAGTCAGCTCCAGTATCAGCCGCTCTTCATTTTGCTCGTGTACTTCCCTGCTTTTAGTCGATACATCAGGGAAATCGGCAAACGTTCAAGCCTGAGATCGATATCGCCCTCAAGAGGCTGCACCATCCACAAGGGAGCGCATATGCTGGATATTCAGATAGATCGTTATCCGTGCCCTGACTGACCCATGGTGATAAAAGAAAACAATTGTTGGCAACAGAGCTACTTCGACCTACTCTTTACATCACTGTACGCAACTAGATCTCATCTTAACAGCTCTTTCATCATAATAATGTCGTACAACCCCGAATCTACCCATCCGGATTCTGCGAATTTTCCCGCCTTTCTTGCCAGCGATGCATCACTTGGTGTCAACAATTCTGTTTTTAACATGGGTGGCCAAAAAGTCTCCCACTGCTTCCGAATCCTTTTAAGCCACCCATCGCTGGATGCAAAGAAACACGCCTAATTTTTCATCGATAAAGTGTAAAGTGGCCGTTTCATTTGCAATGTGAGAATGCATTCATAAGGATTCATATTTTCGCTTTTCCCTATTGTGCGTTTTCCTTCTGCTTTGGTTCGATCTTTAAACAGCATTTCCCCTCTCAGGTTAAGGAGCGGACTGATGCCGTTCGCCGAGTGAGATGTTTCGTCGTGAAAGTGTTCGAAGGAAAAGCATACTGCCACGACAGGAGGCTGATAGCATGATGCCATTGTGCACCAAAATCTACGTCGTCTATGGCGACAGCGAAGGTATGATGGTGCTCTTATTTCTAGGGAGAGCATTGATTTCCACGATATACAGTAGGAGTCTGCGGTGAAATGCTTTGACGCTTCTTCGTTCGTAACTTTTTTCCTAGTCCAAATCGCGCCAAATTTGGATATGTTTAACTTAAGCATATTTCACCCTACCCAACACTATTTGACTGCGAAGCTACTATATCCAGAGGTAGAGCAAGGTGTTCGCTGCGGTAGCATATTTTGCTAAAAGTAAAAATGTTGACGTCTGCACTTATTCGCACCTTATGTGCGTTTTTCTCATCTGTTATGTTTGGCATTACCGCTCGTACACTTTAGACGCGACAAAAAGGGAAGAGATTCTAGGAGGGCTATCATCTGTATTTTCAGTCGATTTTTAGTTCATGCTCTTTGGAATATCTGGAACATGATCATATTGCAGGTTAATAGTGGTAAATATTCACAATACACCCACGCTCAAAATATAGAAGTTTCACATGATTAGTTCCAGTAGGAAAGGACTTACGACTGAAAAGTACGGCTGAAGAAGCATATTGGCAAAGACTTTTGAGCGCTGCTGTACATTGATCCATTGGAGTCGCTCCCAACACAGTTTATTTGGTTTTGAAATGTAGGTGCCGCAGCACTGCTTTGCATACTGTGAGAGAGCCAGAAAAAAGTTTTTGATATGAGAAGTACTTAACCCTTCGAGAAGTTAAACTATCGAGGGAAATACCGCTTAACGCTTGTTCTAAGCAGGCGAAGTTGGACCGTTCATGAAACTGTTTCAGAGTTTGCCTTGGAACGACAGATGCTGTGGATGGACGTGCTGCCGGAACTACAGAATTTCGCCTTCAATTCGGATTTCGATTTAGAGTGGATCGATCCACTCAGTGAAAGAGGTCAATTCAGCGAAGTGATGCTCGAACATATGATGAACGGCATCTTAGAAGAAAGCAGTTGGTTGATAGTGAGTTTATTTTTCTAGAACTTCAACAACCTCGTCCTTTCTCTCTTCATCAAATCTAGGTGCTAAGAAAGCCGAATGTAGTGATATTTTCAGTGTCTCCTCGGTGACAAATATGGTTTAATTGGACCACCTACGCAAATTCCGAAAAGCGAATTTGAGGCTATCAGGGCAGCGGTGTTTGAGCAGAGTGAAGGTTGGTTTCAGCGTGAAAATGTAAAAGTTGTAAAATACAGTGGAACAAAAGAATACTTTGCGATTGCTGAATTCAGAAGTCTTTCAGATTTGAAGCTTCTTGACCAGCATTACGTTTTGGATCGAAGTGGCATGGAAGAGGAGTATCGACTAAATACACACCTGGAGGACGCAAAACAACGAATGAAACTCTCAAAAGTGGTTCAAAAAGGAGCTCACAATGTGGGTTCGCTATTGTAACCTGAGGATGTTACAGGGTACATATTCTTGCTTGGAAAGGATATATCAAGAAATAAACAGTGGCATGTAAATAGTGTAAGGAACGACATAAGCAACAATAATTAATCTTACACATTTGTTGTTTGCGTCAAGTTCGTAGTTATCGGTGTGTATGGGCAGATTCATGGCTTATTCGATTCATGGTTGACTGTATGGATAGCTTCAATTGAGTCATTTTCTATTTCGCAGTATCAGCCAATTTCAGGCATTTGATGGTTCGCAGCTGACTAACGACCGTCAGCGACGGTTTTTCTGGTCTTCACTCCATAAGATCGCCGCAGTCGCTCTGGAACGCAACTGTCGCTGCACGCTAGTACTCAGGAAGTTTGATGGTATGTACTACTCACACGTTATGTAGCTTGGAAAATGAGGAGGAAACTAGCATTTCATGTCGCATAAGGTTTGACTCGCTGATTGTTTATACAACCGATACGAGTGTGTACCATACTCCCTTACCATCGCCACGTGTACCTACAAAGCTCTTGGCTGCAAGACTACCCAACACTAGGCCGAAAGATATGTCAGAATGGTTTCTTGTAGATGTACGTCCGGACACTGGTGTCAATTCAACATACTGCGAGAAGCAGTCCGAGGCTGCCGAGAAGATTGCGAAGCTGAAGAACCAAGTCTCCGAGAAAGTCGACAACAAACTTGTGTTCTCTCACATATTCACCCCAGAAAACGGAGATATTGGAGCATTTTTTACTTCTCGTGAAGCTGACAAGTATCGAGACACGTTGCAACGACAGGTAAGGCGAAATAGAATTGACTGGTGAATGCAAATCCGTTTGCGAGGAGTTTAATTCATGGGAATGAAGAAAGAGAGCGAGAACGTTTGAGTCGCAATGGGACATTAACAGAGTGAAGAGTAAGAAGTGAGAATAGGTCTTTGCCAAAAAAGTCATTAGATAGCACTCATCGTGACCATCAAAACTCTTCCAATCACTTTTACTGATTACTAAAAACCTGGCAAATGACTCGAATAGATTTTTGCATTTCCCATATTTCCAGGCATCACCTTGCAGATGAAGTGCAATTGAATATAGTTGGCGTCTGAACACAACCGCAGGGGACCTCTCCGTTCCAATCAGATCCGTATCAAATTTTGAGCCTAAATCCAAGGCAATTTTCCTTTTAAACATCTTGTCATACGAGAAGGAACCTAATCATAGCAATTGGTTGGTCCTGCATAATTGATGTATAATTAATATAATATTTACCGCTTCCAGAAGGAGTGATACCAAGGGTCACCGATAATATCCAACCAACTTGCCTTCGAAAAAAACTTTCAAGCCATAGAACTAGAAGAACTCCAACCCACACTTGCTGCACACCTTTCTTAGGCGGACCATAGCTAGAACTTAACAAGTCTCCGACGATTTCAGAGTTCTCCTCTTTTCAAACAAGCAGTTAAGGTTAAAAATGGTTTCTAAATTCCTGCCTAGGATGAGCCTGCGATTTCATGGATAGCATGAGAGACGCTGCCGAGGTGAAAAACGACTTGGATAGCGCCGTGAAAAGGCCCCGGAATTGGCTTAGCCGACGTACACATCCAGGCGGACGAGTTTTCACGGCGTTGTAGAGCCTCAGTGGCTGCTTTTATAGTCCGCCGGCCGAAGACGGCGGTTGTCCCTTGTTTACAATTGAATAACGATCGATACTGCATGCCGAGTAGTCCCTCGGCCGGCGCGCGCCCTCGCTCGCTCTCTCGCATTCCGGTCGGTGGACTATGGAAGCAGCCAGTGGTTGCACCATTCGCGCCGGACGCACACATTGCATACAGGCAGCTTATTGTAGCCAGCTGTACGCACTGGCACATACATTTAGACTACCACTTTTACTTAAAGGCACAGTTTACGATAAAAAAAGAGGCTCATGAGATATTCTTCAAAGGTGGCTTTGTGACCCTCTCGTATACCATGTGGCGCTCTGGGAGTTCAAGCAACTTGTCATGACTCATAGCGACAGTGAAAGGCAACTCTGCAGAGCTTTGGCTTAATTTAGACTGCTTTCTGCGCAATTACAACATCTGAAATTCGTCCAAATACCCCTTCCGTTATGGCAATCTCGTCCGACCTCTATTTTTACTACTTTTGAGGGGCCTTATTTTTCTCGAAATCGGCGAGCTTTCTCGAATACTTCACTACCGATGAATTTTTCCCAGCCTATACCGGGAAGGAGTAACCCAAAATTATCGGTGATTGTGGGGAAACGGGCAGTAGGAACGCTGTTGTTTAATCGCTCCGCCGCACGCGGCTGCCGCGGAACATTGGCCTCATAATAACAGTTCTAGCGTTCTTTATACAGCTCAATCGCTGTACGATTAATACTATTGGCATGATTCTACTATTAACTCTTTTATTCTTATGCGACGTCACTCTCGCCGAGAAGCGACAAGCTCGCCACACCCGGTAACTGTGCCTTTAGAGTTCTGACCCTAGATCCCTGTAGTATTTTATGAAAATTAAGAGTCTTTATACATAAACTTGCGAAATGCGTTATCAGACATGCGTTTAGCTGAACTGGTCGATATTATATTGTGTACTGCATAAAATAATTTTTATGATTACTCAAAACTGAAATACTGATTTCAGATATTGGAGCGGCTCAAAACCCATCTAGTCCTGCTTCATCCAAGTGTGCGGAGCTCTCCATGTTCATCGGTGGAGGTCGCGGCGGATGAGAGCAACGCCCACATTTGTAATACCCACGTTTCCTTCATCCGTAAGGCCTCATCCGATACTTGAAACATTCCAGATTTCCATGCTACACGCTCAAAACAACCGTGGTACGTCCGTAACGAAGTGGATCCGAAATTGAATGTAAGAATGATCTCCATATGAAATTACGTGATTAGTCCAGCGAATTACTGTTTAGGAACTTCTCAGCTCCGCCACATCTGGGGGTGTATTTCTTCTGCAAGGCCCAGAACTGTGCGGGAAAACTCGAGCTCTATGCCATCTCTACGATCAGGCCCCAGCAACTGTCATCAAGATCATCAGGTTGGAGAATATCTTGCTTACCTAGGGTTTAAGCAGGAGCTCGAACACATTCTCAATTAGGCGAAATCCTGACCACTGGGTCATCTGAATTAGCGTGGAAAGATTCTGAATGTTGCATTTATGAATATGGTCATTGAGAGCTATAAAAATTAGACTTGAGACGAGTCCTTGGCAACAACCATAAGCGATCCCGACAATTCTACATCATCCGTCACAGTGCCAACGCTCCATTTTTAGAAGGAAGGATGTTACATACCCTCTAGCTATTGTCCTCTGTGATTTCTTATCAGCCCCTATCACATGTTTCGATCCTTGTCACCAATCATCTACGATCATTTCACACATCACATCGCCTAGCAAAGTGTCGTGTTTCCACTGTTAGCCCGAAGAACATAACGCGCCCAACGGTTCATACCTTCTGAGGCTCCTCAACAGCCGCTATACTTTGGTGGATGTGAGCACTTGGTGACAGGGTTGTAAGGCCCTGTCCGAGCCAGCTGAGTGCCTCTTACTTTCAATGGCTTCTTGTCAGCTCCCGTTTTTGCTCTCTGTCCCCTACCACCTACTGTACCTTTACACCTTACTTCACTTACCGAAGTGCCAGCCTTTTACTGTTAACAAGAGTGAGAGTTCTGAGATTCCTGCTGTCCAGCGCTCTTTGTCATTCTCTGTCAATTGTTATTACTGAATTTGATTACTCCAGATGCAAGGGACAGAAGTTATGAACTCCGGTCAAACACACTAACGGCACACACCGACACACATACATCACACACACACAGACAAATACACACGAACAAGCGAACAGACCTACAAACCGAAAGACACACTTGCAGTGTTATGAATTATATAGATTCCAAATTCCGTCTAGAGATTCCAAAGTGCTTGAACTCAAAATCAACTGGAAATAGGAATGATGGTCCTACTAGAACTTCCTTCCTTTTTGCGATGTCTTAAGTGTACGAGCGCTAATGCGAACACAGTAGATAAGAAAAACGCACTCAAGGCCTTGCTCTAATTATGTGAATATTGCTGCTTCGTAGTCAAGTAGTGCTGGATAATGTGAAATATGCTTTAGTTAAACATATAGAAATTTCGCGTATTTTGCTCCACTAAGGGAAAAAGTTATGAACGAAAAAGTGTGAAAACGTTTGAACGAAGACTTTTGAGCGCTACTGTATTCTGATATATACCTATTTACCCAGGTTCATCGACCTTACGTACTACTCCATCTTTGCTCATGAACTTTGGCGGCAAATCAACTTGGAACTATGCACCCTGATCGGCAAGGAACCACACTCAGTAATAAATGTGTGTGAGAAGCGACCATATCCTTGAGAAAAGGAAATCGTTCTGTATCCTTGGTAAAAATTTATCAATTGCAGGCGTTCAAGTTTGAGGAACAACTGAAGATTTTTGATGAGATTATTGTAACGCTTGACAAAATGCTGTACTTATTTCTGGATGATGTACATTTGCTCAAATACGGTCCTTTTATGAGTGCTATCAGGAAGAGACTTCAAAAGGTGAGCATTTCACTTCTGATATATATACATCAAGTGATAATGGTACAATCAAACCGAGCAACTATGTTGCCAATTTCTTTCCGGAGATTTTTTCTAACACAAAACAGTTTCAGGCTCCTTCTTCACTTGCTATATTTATGACTGCCTCAAACATTTCACCCATATCCTCTATCTATACTATCACACAAACATTGAATCTTGATATGCCATCTGAGGACGACATCATTGAAATTCTCAAACGATCGCTGGTGAACAGAAAAGCTGGCAGTGCCCAGTGGTCGATAATCAAGCAACAAGTTCGTTTTTATCACGTTCTTCCTTCTTTCTTTTGATCGTTTCCGTGAGCCTTTGCTTTGTTGTAGTTAGCGACAAATAATGAAGACCAGAGGTGAAGTTGTTTCTCTCGTGCTTTAAGTTCCACCCCCAAATAAATGTGTTTTACTGGTACGAACCTTGTTGTCGAAGAGTAATGAGCAAATTGTTCCGGGCAGATAATCTAGTAATGTCTTCAGGTGAATCCCTCTACTGTTAGACTCCCACGCACACAGCACCGAACTTTCGGTCGTCTTCCCTTCCCAGTGAAAATTGCAATTGAGTTCTGAACTCATCCTCGATTCCTGTGGGGAAATCACGTGCAAAAATCCATTGATTATCTCTAGTCTTCACTTGAATAATCGTAGCGTTTTTCCAGCTCACCGGCAGCAATCGGAATATTCTTGTTGGACAAGTGCTACTCGACCAAGTTCTTATGCGGAAAAACGGTGTCATGAGCGGAGGTATTCAAGGTGAGCCCTGCCGATCTAGTCTGACACCTTCCACTTCCAGTTCTTTATTTCGTTTCAGGTCGGCTCGAACGAATCGAAGCTGAACTTGGTGCGTTGTCGGTACAGAGTCTGTGCACATACATGGTGCTAGCCACGCATGGTTTGACTCGGCTCGAGCTGTTCGATCTTCTCTCCAATAAGTTCGACCTCATTTCGAGGCTCGGAGCTACCGTAGCATTTCCAACGCTGCTTTTAGACCGGATACTTGAATCCCTAGGTACGAAAAACAATAATCATTACATGATTGAACCAACCTTACAATCGATTTCTATTACCAGAGAATTTCTCTTTTTTTTTGTCAGGTAGTTTATTGGTAAAAAATTATGTTGACCGGCGCATCGTCTATCGCCTCAGCCACAATTGCCTTATTGCAATATTCCGAGCTAGGTGGGGTCGGAATTGAATATTTGAAAGAAATAGAATTTCATATCGAAATTAACCGATGTAAAACAGCTTTCAGGTATTTTTCAACTTTGGTTGATCTCAAGATAACACACAGCGAGATCGCCGACTACTTCGGTTGTGCTTCGCCTGTGGACGAAAGCATATCGCCACGTAAAGAAATCTCTTACCAGGTCATTTCATGAAAATTCATAAACCGCTCTACGGTCTCAACCATTACAACCTCATACCGGTGGCGCCTAAAGCCCCTAGATTGCTCCACCCTAAACCGACTTATGGAGAAAAAAGGAAAGAAACGCCAGGTCCTAGTATGAGCGTGAATTTTCGAGTGCATACAGCGAGTACTGTAGTGTGTTTTTACGCAAACATGAGCTTTTTTATGCAGTGTGCAATTGATCTATGAAGTGCTTCAGTGACTGTTCCGTCAGGGCGACGAAGGGAACTCATTCTGGGCTTGTAATTGGCGAAGCTCCGTTGGGCTTTGCGAATGCTCTTTTCGACCTCAGCGGTTTCGTCCATAACTACTGCTCTTCTCTCTTTCAGATCTTCCTTTATCACTTCTCTGCATAGCTTCGCAAGTTCGGACGTTTGTTGATGATTGCCTGGAGCTCGCGCGATCCCACGCTGGCGTATCAGCTCGCGAGTCTTCAAAGAGAGTCGTCTCTTGGCTACTTGTAGACTCTGCTTTCCTAGCGCTATCATGAAAATGTCTACGAGCCGGTTGTTTTCTTCATCGACTTTGTCGAATGTGAGAGACGATGGACTGACCCCGTGTAGAACTTCAAAACAACAGCGACTTCAGATAGGCAAAATCTTCGATTGAAGATGATGTGGTCTATTGATGTGGTCAGGTGACACCCATGTCCATCGCAAATGAGAGGGCTTCGAGATTTGTTAGTTACCGTGGATGGTGTGGGTCAACATGATAAACTCGGACAGTCTTTCACCCTGCTCATTTCATTCCATTCCGTGAGTTCCCATGTGGAGCTATTCAGCCGTCCTTCTGGGGCCAATCTTGGCGTAGAATCATCGACGATGACCTTGAAGAAAGTGTGGTCTTCTCGAGCCTCTCCAGATCCATATAAAACATATAAAACGGTTCCAACTCCTCTTCTTCTTAGTTCGACTAATGGTGCGTAGGCAAAGAAGATGGTTAGAGTTGCGGTTGAGCCACAACTTCTTAATCGCAGTTTCGATCCGAGTTGTTAGGCTTCCGTACGAATCGAGACACCTACGACACCGACGCCTCCGCTGTCGCATGTTCCAAGAAACAGTTCTTCTCCAGTCTCAAATACAGCGTGGAGCGGGCGATGCGTTCTCGTCTGTCCAATGACATCGTAATTGATCTTCCTAACCTGCATCGTCAGGCCTTCTCTACATGCTTGCGATGCAAGCGTCCGCGCGTTGAAAGAAATCCATCCTAGTCCTTCTCCTTTTGGGCAGCCTGTTTTGGCCCTGGGATTTTAGCATCCTCTTCCGATCGGTCCTGCCCAACGCTGCCGTGTTGGGGGCTGGAGACTTGTTAGCGTGCGCACCGGCCGGAGACTTGACATTCAGTTTGTAAACAAGTGGCTGTTTTCATAATCCACGATTCGGTCCGCGAGCGAGAGAGCAAGCGAGCGACCGGGGCGGCGCTTGCCCCTTTTTACAACTGAATTTTGTTCGATACCGCCGGATGAGTAGTTCCCCGGTCGCTCGCTCGCGGGTCGAGTCGTGGACTATGAAAGCAGCCAATGGATAGCGCAGTCTCCGGCCAGCGCGCGCGCTCTCACAGCTCAAAACAATGAGACCCGCCAAGATGCGGAAACGTTTGAAGGGCAGAATGCACAAATACGATAAACATTTTCTGACTTTCAGGTTTTTCCTCAACAAATGAATCGTGAGAATGGCGCATGTAATATTAGACGACTACATAATCTGTGGTTTCACTTACTTCATACAGGTGGGTAGGAATTTTGAAAAGTGTCGGAAATGATATGCAACCCGACCGAGCGAAAATGGCGTAGTGCTAGTTGATGTCGTTCCAAGAGTATCTTCGGATTATATTCGGAAATTTAACCCACTGAGGTCAAATGACGCTAACTGACAGCTGGTCAGCTGTCTGAAGTCGATGAACTGGTGTCACGCCCATTTCGGATGATAGAACTACTGAATATTTCAATAATAAACGATAAGTGTTTTGTCCTTCTAAGATGAAGGAATTTAGCTATTTTAAAAAAATCCTAAATAATTTCACCCGTAAAATATTAATCAGATCTGGAGGGCATAATTATTCAAGGCCGCCTCATGTGGCTGAGTACAAATTGCACTCTTCGTTCTCGTAGAAAATATTTTGATGTGTGTATGGTTTGTAAGCTGCTGACTGGTATTGCTTCGTTGACGCGTCTAAATTCTATGGTAGGATCAATTTTAGAACTAGAGGGTGGTCAATAAAAACATCGTATGCCACGCCTAAAACGAATATAAAGCGGCATAGCTTAACTTGTCGGGCAGGGTCTGAATTCACGTCTCTAGAAGCCAAAGTAGTGTTAACGTCTCCGGCCTTCCGACTTTTCAAGCGCCTTAGTAAATTGTTATTGCTGAGCTTTAGTGAGCACTAGTTTATACATATGTGATTGTCCGTAATTTTAGTTGTGATTTGTTAACTTCATTTTTCTTGCGTTTGCCTTATGCACAATGTTAAAAATAAATAAATACATAAATGAATAAAGGGTAGAAGGTTAAAGTTTTGGCGCCAATCAATTCCGTGTGAGGGATGCGCTATCCCTCACACGGAAGATTAGGAAGAACAATTACGACGTCATCGGACATTCAAAATCGTAGTGGCGCAGTGAGTGCGTATGTGGCCTGTACAATGACTTGCGGTGGACAGCCGATGTACACGTCAATGCTTCTGTCCTAGACGAGTCTGGCACCAATCAACCGACCCCGAAGGGATGGAAGTCTTGGTTGGCCTAGGCGGATATCGATCCGGGACTCGAACCCCTGATCGTGCATGTGAGATAGTGCACCACTTGCCACCACCACCTCCGCCCCAAATAACTAAACAAATAAAATATAATATTATGTAGTGTGGCTACTCATGTCAACAATCTCGTCAAGATTTCAAAAGAGATCAGTCCTACAACAAGAAAAAACAGTCTTCTAGTGAAAATAAAATTCTAGGGACAAAGTCCTGTAGGTTAAGCAATTCCGCCCGTAGTATTCGGCTTCCTTTTCACTACTTCCCTTCCCCGCACTCTAGGTGCCCTATAGACCGTGCTTTTATTTTTTTTTATTTTTGCAACCTGATCTGGTCAATTAATCAGCCTAGTGAGATGGAAGCTTGTTTTGCCTGTGCTGTTATAAAACTGCGATTTGATCCCGCGGGTCAGGCATGGGGTATACGAGCATGAAGCACTTGACTCTACAATATCTGCACCTTTTCATGTCTCTAGAGGTTACGATTACCAGAAAAGGGAACGGTTTCGGAATGAATCTCAGAATAGTGCGGTCAAGGCCCGATGATCCACAAAATGATAAGTAGAAAAAAACGTGACAAAAGCTGCTATTCGAAGCATTGACGTTTTACAAAGGACACTGGGCTACCTCCAACAGGCACTGAAATCGCCTTCATCAACAAGAACTGCGTCCTTAACCTTTTCCATAATCGGTCCTCAATCTTAAGATATAGAACATCTTTTAGTTAACACTTATCACACCTAGAATGGCAACTCAGTTCAGCTCCTATTTAGGTAATATGGATGCACTTAAAGACATGGCATTGTGTCAATTCGACTTTATTGACAGTGCGGTTCGTACGTGCTCCATGGTCCATCTTTTATCGATATACGAGGAATGTGCAATGCAGGTGCTTCATCATGACATCCAAGGTACGGTCATGAAGGACTGACAGCTCTTGAGTAAAAATGTGATGTACTTCAGTGTTGTGCGAACAGGTGCTGATTCCGGCGATACCGACCGTTCTTAGAGACCGCGAGCAATTGGCTGCTGAAGTGATTGGACGGTTGCGGTACACGAGAGGTAAATAGGCATTCGAATGAGAACAGCAGTACTCGCTGTCGGGCTTAGAACGAGCCATTCCTTTCATGTCTTTGATTTCTTGGAAGATCGATGGCTACTTCTGCTAGGAGAGGCCCGTGCTGTGGGGCCATATCTTTGCCATGCAGCGCTTTTGTGATCTTTACAGTTATGAGAGATGCTATTTTTACGAGTACGTGGTCTATTCTTGTTTTTTTCCCTCCATTGCTGTAGATGATCTTTTTAGTTTCCCTTCTCGCGGAGAATGTACTGCAAACTGCCAGGTCGCGGGCTATAACTATGTTCCTCCCTCTTCGTTCCTGACTCCAACTTCTCCACTACCTAAACTCCTTCTAAGCCCCTCCGTTCACTACCGACCTGACCATTCAGATCACTCCTATGGTGAGGTAGTCCCCTTTTAGAAGTGATATGATGGCCTCGCCAAGGCTCAGATACCACTCATCCTTTCGTAGACGAGGCAGCCGATTTGCAGTGCGTGTGCCGATAATATTGTCCAGTACCCTTCTTTCGGGTCTATCCTCACAGCCATGATTTGACTGCCGATAATGTCCACGGCGGAGACAGAGTTTTTTAGGAACCCCCCCCCCCCCTTTGCTGACGCCAAACCATTCCGTTAAGTGTCTTCTCCGTTGCAACAGAACTTAGCACCCTCGACGGCCTCTCGAGCATTTGCTCTTTTGCAGCGGATCTCCTAGAGGAGTAGGAACCTGATAAGATTTGGATGTCTGTGCGCTTCATTAGATCAGCGATCACCTCTCTGAACCTCCGTCGAGCGACCCTACATACCCGGGATGGTTTATGCAACACTACATAACGTTTATTCAAGGGCGCAGTTCACGTTGAAAACTGTTTCTGAGGTTTCCCTGTAGTATGAATTCAAGGCTCTCCTTCACACCATACCTGTCGTTATAAGTTCGAAAAACGTCCTGGGTAGATCACAACAAGGGGGCGGAGATTGTATCGTGTGAATGCCACACCCTTCCTGTCACGGTGATCTCGTACAACCTCCACTTACACTACTTTTAAGATGTCTCAAAGTAGGCGGATTTTCTCGTTTTCTTCACCACCGATTTAGCCCCTCTATATCGACACCAGTTTTTCAACCGAAAAAGGGTACCTCAATATTATCCAGAATCGGAATCGGACCTTTGAGGAATCGATTTTCATACATGCTTTGTAACTTGGTAAGGAAATGAGGAGAGGTCACTTCACCAAACTATCTATTGCATTGACGTTCAAGACAATCCTACAGATGCAACGCTTATTTGTAATCGAAATTTTTTCCCCGGAATTTTTTTGCATCGTCAACAAGTGTTCGAGATCAAAGCATCAATTCAGAATGGAACTTCAATTGCAATTATTTCATGTACATATAATAGCGTCATCCAAAATTTTCGAATTGATGCTTTGCAGAACTCGGCGAGGCGAAAGGATCAATTTCAGCAAAACAAATTTTTGAACTGAGGCAAAAGATAGAAACATAAATTGAATACGAAATGGCTTTTTTACGCAATTTCGAGATTCATTCGGAAGGGTGTCACAACATGAGTTCATCCAGTTGTAAGTATTATAGTTAACATTCAGCTGAGAACAGTCATTTCCTGAATACATTGGTGGAACAGGCTATGACTTGGGTGGACAATTATTCCCGGCAGCCATTGCTCGTGCCTCTTTCTTGCTGGATAGCTCCACCTCAAATGAAAACGTGCCGAACATTCACTATCAAGGTAAAAGAGTCTCGTTCTCTTAAATAGCCGATTGTGTCGTACTAACTTGACTACTTGTTACCGGTTCTATGCGGATACTTTGCTCTCTCTGGTTTGTAGGAATGGAAACCTGGCCAGACGGTACTCACACCTACTTTCAATCACCAGCACGTCTTGATCTCGGGAAACCAGTCAGCAATCGGTGTTATCTACATGTATCATATTGCAGCTCAATCTTTGATGACAACATTTAGCGGTATGTGGTTGAAATTTGAATCTTATTTTATGTCAGATCCTCAGGATGCTCCAGGTGAGCATAATCACGAGGAGTCATCTTAGTCGTCATCCAAGGAATAAACCGTGCTCAGAATTTTTAGAGAACGCAAGAATAGACGAGAACCCCTGGCTGCAATTTCCGACAATTAGGAGCAAGGGTGCCACACGCTGATGAATCGAAGATCAGATGAACCATACGCTTTGTGATGACTATTAAGGAAGGTGTACGACCCCCCTTAGTACGGCAAACAAACACCAGGATGGCATCGCTCCCGATGGTCAGCTATTTCCATGAAGCGCTTGAACGAAGTACTGAGGGTCTTGTGTCTCTCATGCGATGGAGGCTTACTAAACTCTATAAGCTTGCGAGAAGGAAGAATAGAGTCATATCTCCGTTCGCACGGAAAACTTTCAGTTGGTCAACAAACGGCACTTTGTTCGAGTGTCTGTGTCAGGGTGCAAATTCCCATTCCACTAGGCAGTTAGTCCTTTATATGTTCCATTACCTTTCCTACTGATCCAGTGTAAACAATGTGTCAATACTAGTTCCCGAAAAAAGTCACACCACTCGTTACCCTTCCACAGACCAGCCGCCTGCCCTAATCGACGTCCACGTATTTCCCATGACTGCCATTTGCATCTCTTGCGGAATCCGTCAAAGTCAAATACTTTCAGGTCATACTGGCAACGTAACTTCCCTGTCATGCAGCGCAAGTGGCACCTTCTTCGTCAGCACCTCAACAGACAACACGGTTCGGATATGGAGCCTCATTAGCGTGAGTCTAGGCTTCATGCATTCCATAATATAACAGAAACTATAAAGTGACAGGAACTTTGAAAAGTAATCGGATGGCTTCAGGGCGAATGTGTGAAGATGCTGACACCGCATTCTCACAAAGTCATTTGTTGTGTATTAGCCAGCGATGATTCGTTTCTAGTAACGGGTTCAGCCGACTCTTCAGCCAAGGTCAGTTTGTGGCCACAGATGGGACAGGAATCCGAGTTGTGGTGAGCTCGAATTACCAACTTTCTGTTGTAGATGATTGATTTGGAGACTGGCGAAGTTCTGAGGTCATTCACAGAACATACCGGTAGTGTCGTCTCGCTTCAGCTCACTGTCAATAATGAGTTCTTGATAACGGGTGAGACGATTCTAATTCTTTTATGTGTGATTCTCGGCAGGAAATCAGAGAAGCAGAGCCGCATGGCTGTGAAACATTTAACGATTTCTCGTGGCTATAGCTCTATCCGGTAATAGAATCCTCCCGATTTCTACTAGCGTAATAGTTTAGGATCTGGCGATTTCATCGTTCAAATGTGGTCGTTAGAGTCGGGACGTTGCATATCACGTATGGGGGGTCTTATGGCCCCAGTTAGTTGTATAGCCATAACTTCGTAAGTGCTCAGTTTAGAATTATATTCCTCCGAACTGATACATTGGAAGAGTATCTTTAGTAATGATGCCTTCGTTATTGTCGCTTGTGAAGATGAGACGTTGCGTGTATTCTCGACAGTTGCCGCTCAGGAGCTTCACGAGCTGATGGGACATGAAGGACGAGTTAGTGACACTTTGGCAGAAACTTGGCCCGTAACTCTAATAACTTCAGTACCAGCGAGTGTGAGTGTTGAAGAAGGGCGCTGCATCCTTGTGGAGCAGTCCCTGGTTAGACACACACCGCTACCAGCATCATGTCATTAGGGAAGTAGGCGCTACACCACCGAACATGCATGCCGAGCTAGGGATAAGGGCCCCAAGGTCTATTTCCGATTCTGTCTGGTGAAGTGTTCCTCTTTCGAGCATGAAAGACATCACGGGCAGGGAACAATTGCTGCACTGCCCCCTATTAAGTTCACGATTGTTAATCCCGCTTGCCCACCCATTCACCTTTACCCTAGGCCTAGTAAGTGCCGTACGCCTGCATCTAGGGGGTATACTTTTCCTTAGCAAAAATACTGGTCCTTGATCAAAGAGCGCAAGGTGAAAGTTCACAATTCGTAAGAACTTTTTTGGATTTTTTTTTCGAGATATCGTCCTTTTCAGGTGAATGCATTGGCTTGTGCTCAAGATGACTGTCAACTGTTTGCGGCTACAAAGTCCAAAGTCTATTGCTACGATATCCATAATGGTCAGATCGTAGACGTGCTCGATTGCAAACTTCCATACGCCGTCTTTAACATTAAGGTCCTGGTCCTAGTTTTTTTTTTCTTCTTCTTTTTCGAAGGAGATAATGGTTCATCTAAAACGGGCCGTTACACTTTTCTCTAGTTAATGACTACTGAAGTTTTACGAAACCAGAAAGAAAGTTCGAAAAACAGCAAGAAAGATAAGAACCTCGTAAAATTCTGCCATTTAAACGCACCCTATTTACTCCTCCTCACTGAATGAGCTTCACAGTGGAATAGGCAGTGCTTGAATATCCCATGTGGCTATCCCATATCTGGCCTTGGCCTCGTTGCAGACTTCGACAAGCGTTACCATACCATGCCTCCTGCAAACAGCCGGTATTTTTTCCATCCCTTCGCCTGTTGGTGTACGATATCATTCAATAATGTTGCTTATCGCCAATCTGAAAGCTTTCTGCCTATTACAAACACATATGTCTAAAGCCTCCCCATGTCACACAGTGATAGCAATCAGTAGCGATAAATTGATACCAAACAATACTGGTGGATAGGCTTCATTATTTGGTTCTCTTAGACCATACGGCATTCAAACTTTTGGAGAAATGAGGAGATAGTATATAAATACCATATCGAATATATGGAAGATTCTGCATCTTCTTCAAATCAACTTCAATATGCCTGTAGAATGGTACTGCATGGGAAGGACGATGTTATTTTTTTCGCATTTTTTCTTTTTTTCTATCGGTTTATCAACCATGAATATAACAGTGAACTCAGATTATCAAACTCTACACAGGGGTACTTTGATTTTCTGAATAAGTTCTATTCTAGAATAGTTCGATTTTATTGCATGCTCCCGAAGTTGTAAGAATGTTCCGTATAAATTTGAAAAGTCGAGGCTGTGAAATAAACAAAAACAATCAAAAACAAAGATCGGAGGAGTGATAAACGTTTCGGAATGCATGGAAAAATAAGCGAAAGTGATAGAAGCAAATTAGATTCTCGTCAAAGAGTGTTTTATACATCATTAAATAGCATCTGTACAGGGATATCAAACAGTATACATTGCTCACTCCACTCGCTTACAAACTAAAGTGTTTTCACCAGATCAGAAAAATGCCCGCCTCAAATCGAAATTTTTGCACATCACCAATTGCAACTCGACTAGATCATCTACAAACTTCATCGCTATCCTATTTGACTTCGTTAGACGAGATATCCATCCAAACTCACCTAGCTAGGTGTGTCAGGAAATCGAGCTACCACAGAATTATCCTTCATCGCTTTTAGAATACCATTTTAGTAGAGTGAGCTCAATGAACAGAGTCCAGTTACATATCGAATCATACAGAAACTAGTTTTGAATGGAATTATTACAAAAGGGAAGGAAATGCAGACGGCGTATTCCGTGAGATGTTAAAGGCCCAGCTCACGACAACTTTGTTGTCTCTAGTTTGAAACGAGTAATGGAAGTGATAGTCCAGGGCAGTGCAAAAGTGGCGAGGAAAAGGCAGAAATAGGCGTATACAGAGGAATTCAATGCACCAAAAAAGAAGTAAAATTAGGGTTGGGCAAAGAATATGAAGACAGAAATCGCATGGAAAGGGTATTTGGACGAGCTGTCCGAATGTGCGTACCATTGCATAATGTGGCTACAGTAAGCTGCCTGTGTGCAACGTGTACGCCCCAGTACAAATGGTGCAACCTCCTCAACCTCTTCAACTCCGTGGGAACTCGTCCGCCTTTGGGTGTATACGTCGTATAGGTCGGTTTGAGGGACCTTATTGAGTCCTATCTCTGCCGTTCTTCAACCCGACAGCACTCCTTGGGCTTTTCTTGAGGTTCACAGGTTCATCAAAGAGAGGAATCCTAGAATCCATTGCTAACGTGAACTGTGCCTTTGTGTTCCCTTATAGCTGGCATGTAGTACCCCTCAAAACCCCCTGAAGCGCGATCAATTGCTATTGTCGCTCATGAAACCATTCAAAACCCTTGTTCTCGAAATCTTTCAAATTCGTGCCAAGCTGAAGCTTAGAAGTATTTATGAGAATTATTCAAATACTATCTGGAAATGTCAAATTCCCTTCACGTCAAGCTCCAGATGAGCAACTCAGATTCTGAAAATCTCTTTTCCAGATTTCATCCGACAACTTCTTCCTTTTCTCGGGATGCGGCCCGCGAGTGGATGTTTGGCACATTCAGAAGCGCGTTCACGATGCTCCAGATGCTTCAGGACATATGGGATTTGTTACGGCCATCGCACTAAGCGGTGATGACAAAGTTAGTCTCCTACATCCTTCAGGCATTTACTACTAATCTGAGTTTACTTAATCATGAATGGCTATTTAAGATAGCGGCTTGTGGCACATATGACGGCATTGTGGCCATATGGGACTTGGACATCTGCCAATGCTTGTCGACGGTACGTTTACTTGTATGTTTCACGTGTAGCTTCTGAGCAGTAGCAGCTGGCTTATGGTTTTCTGAATTCCACGGATCGTTGAAAACAATCCTCAGATAATGTGACTTTCTAGAAAGATTCAATGAAAAGGAACCCAGGTGCTGGGCGAGACGATATGTGGAGACAAAAAAGTTTCGGGCTTGCTAGGGCTTAAATCTAGTGGTGATTTCTAATGAAAGAAATGCATATTCCTAAATTTTGGAGTATCCACATCCAAGGCGCCTATCGAATTAAGTTTGACAAGTAACTTGGCAAGATAACGAAATTTCTTTCTTTGGTGCAGTCCAAGCTGCCATATGTAGCAAGGGAAAGAATGGTATGGTCTCCTGATAGTACCCAGCACCGTTCTGTTTTCGTGCTTTCATACTATTTCTCTTCAGGTTCCACAGAATAAGGGTATTCCTGTGTCCTGTCTAGCGTTCTCCTTCAACCAAACATTTCTTCTCAGTGGCAACGCAATTGGTACAGTCAGCGTGTTCGACTGCTCGTCAGGAAGCCTACATCGAACATTTGGCGTACGTAAGCTTTATAGTGATCAAGGCTGGAATGGGAACTCTCCTTGTTCTTAATAAGCGCTTTTTCCCTTTTTACATTCGAGAAAGCGTAGTGGGCAAAAAAAAATGAGACGGCTATTGAATAGGTATATGACGTGATCACAAACGAATATATCAGAATTGACCATTTCAGCTGCACTCTTCCGAAATCGTTTCAATTTGTCCACTGGAGAACTACCGGGTGTTCAGCTGTGATAAGGAAGGCAAGCTCTGTCAATGGGAAATTTTCGGCGATGAGGAGAGCATGGTAACTACTTTCACCTCCAGAACCATTGTAGATCAAGAGAGAGAGAGAGTAACTTCATTAAAGAGAAACCAACAAAATATACTTTGATAGTTAGCATTTCGCCAAGTTGGTGGTGTGCTGAACCTTTGTGGTACTCATCTTCATAGCGCTCTACAGCTACAATCCATAGAGATATAGAAGATTGTCTAAAAAGACTTGATTCAAAATTGTTGTCATTCGAGGGCCTAATGCGCGTGAAAGGGCACACATGAATAAATGAATAAACATAAATAATGATAACGTGCATAGGGAAGTGCTACTCCCCTCTTATTGCTCGCGTGAAAAACTCTACTTCCCTGGCTAGAAAGTTTTTTAAGAGTGAGCGCTTGAGGATTTACTGCTAGTGAAGAAGGACCACTCTCCTTGCCCCTTCCCCTAAATCGAAGCCTCTCATCTGCTCAGTAAGCAACATCTGCCTAAAACAAGAGGAAAAAAACAGAGAAAACGGAAGAAAACATGTGGCAGATCTACTAATGCAGGAGTGAGGCAAGTGCACCTATCTTCATTGATATGGAGATCAAATTCGTTGAAGTAATTTTTGATCACCGTCGTGAGGAATTTATCGTGGGCAAAATTAAAAGTGCTCCACCACCGTCAGAGGATTTGTGATTTTTTGTGAACCGTTTGAAATACAGGCTAGCTTTCTCCAAACTACAATGTGGACCAATCATGCCTTCGACCGAATACAAGCCATTTTTAAGATTTGGGTAAACCTTGGCAGCGCTAGAAGGCTTTTTTTTCAAAAGCCTTACTACTCCCCAATTCGAAGTATCTAGTTTAATGCGAATAATGGAAGTAATAGCCTACAATAGTGAAAAAGTGCGAAGGAAACGCGAAAACCTGCGTACTCAGAGAAGTATGTATAAAGCCGCAAAGAAGTAAATAAATTAGGAGTTGACGAGAATGTGGCGACAAATGTGTGGCATGGGAAGGGTATTGAAACGAGCTGTCCAAATGTGTGGGCCTTTGCGTACAGCTTGCCCCAGTGAGCTGCCCGCGTGCAACGTGTGCCGGTGCAACCTCTGTAGCTTTTACAACACCGTGAGAACTCTTCTGCCTTTGGGTGTATACGCCGAACAAGTGGGTTTAAGGGCGGAGGTGGTGTTGGGAAGTGGAAGAGTTACTCTCTGAACATGCTGTAACCATGTGACTCTTTGACAAAATAGAGCCCCGTTTGTGAATTCCATCCTTGTACGAGTACCTGTGAGATACCTTAACATTCATGTGCTGACATTCTTTCACATTACATCTATTATAATAATGGCCACTTTCAGGTGATGATGACTCAAGGAGTTGCACCTCCTATTTTCGTGCCCCCTAACGGTAAAATTGTGGTTGGACATTGCCCGAAGAACTCGAAAGAGTAAGAGTGTACATTTTTACATTTTGCTTGATAGAAGATGTCGAGCCTGACAGCGGTTCAGTTGAGAAAAAAACCTCTTCAAATTCAAGGATGAAAGTGTGGACTGTCGGAGAGGAAGGACCTGTATTGAAGAACAAGTTGTCTCACAACGAAGAGATCACCTGCTTTGCCGCGATTGCGCAAGGAACACTGGTCGCCACGGGTAAGTTGATGCTTCTTTCACCATTGAGTGAGGAGGTAAGATCATTGGGGTAGGATCGTGGTGTCTTCTTATCAGGGCAATACAGAGCCACGCTGTGTTCAACAAGTCATGCCCTTCTTATTTGTGCCCTCTCAAAGAGGTAGGGGCAGCGAAACTTTTTCCCGATTTCCCTCGTTCATTTTGCGGCGAGAGGCAATCCTTTTTAGTTGTCTCGCGGCTTCAAAGGACACCACATTTTTTTGTTGACTGCTTTTCTTTTTTGATTAGTTTTGATTATTTCTTTATATCTTTTTGTTTCCATATTTATTAGACTTGATTGTTCGAAATGACTCCTTCTCTATTATCGACGATGAAGACCGCATCGGGAGTGGAGAAAATGACCAGCAAATTCAAATAATAGAAGGATTTCCTAACTCACAGATTGCGCGCGCCAATCTTCCATCGCATTTCTGCGATGCGCGGAGGATGGGGAAAGTGCGACGCTGTGTTCAGGGAGAAGATACCGGATCCCGGAGATAGTACTCCGTGGTGAGGGATTGGGGCAGTAATGCTTCCGTGGAGGCCGTTCAGAATGTTACAGAAATAATCTCGTATTTATTATATAACTACCAGCTATGCACGCTATCGGGTGACCTTTCGCGGACAGCGCACAAACCGACATATAAACTGGCACCCAAAATAGCGCTTCATATAGAGACAGAGATAATAAGATAAAAGAGAAGAAGAGCAAAGCCTGCGGGCGACGTCAATTTCGACTTCTATTTAGAATCGTAGTGGTGTTTTGAATGTGTATGTGGCCGGTACAATGAGGTGCAGTGGTCAGCCGATCAGTGTATTTGCCCTCCCAAAAAGGTCAGGTACCAACTAACCGACTCAGGAGTTATGAAGGCTCGGTTGGCCTACGCGGATACCGATTCGGAATTTGAATACGTGATCATGCGCGTGTGAAGTGCGCCATTTGCCACAACATCACCTTTGCTCATAACAAATCAAATAACACAGATAATGATGAAATCTAACCTTCCTTTAATTTATGAATGCTGGGATTGAGCGTCGATTTGCACACTTGCTAGAAAACTTTAACCTCGCGTTGCCGTTAGATCACCTGACTCGGACAATAAGTGAGTGCTTACTCTTTAAGAGCCACTCATAGTCAGTAATCAGTAAGGCTAGTTAAGTGATTGCCCAAATTCAGCATTTAAGAGTGAGCTAGTAACATGTGGACGCTTTGCATTGAAAAGCTTGTTCTCACCTCCACTATCCTTATTACAATGAAATCAAATCTGGACACATTTTTAACTTTGACTGTTCAGGCTCGAACGATCAGTCATGCAAACTATGGCAAATTGACTCAGGGTATCTCACTCAGGTTAGCACATTTTGTAGTATCAAGAAAGTAGTTAAAGAAAAGGATGCATTGCTATCATTTTGAGGTGCTTGTTGGCCACGAAGGGAGGGTTACGTGTGTGGCCCTGTCGGAGGACGAACGCCTTGTCATTTCCGGTGCAGAAGATAAAAAGGTTCGCTTCTAATCGTACTCGTAGATTGCTGTAGGAAAGTGGAGCATCTGCTGAGAAATTCCCTTCCGACTTTCCAATCACCACTAATTTCAGGTCATCGTTTGGAATGTCAGTACAGGTGATATTGCACATTCACTAGTCTGCACAGCACCGCTGACCGCGGTTTCGCTGTCATCCGATGGTTGCGTGGCTTTCTCAGGTTGAACTCAATCCTCCATCCTTCAACTCGATCTATAATTAAGAACATATATTTTTCCCGGAAAAATTCCGTTTTGCAGCTAGCGAAGATGGATGGCTGGAGAGTTGGTCAACAGAAAAGGGAAACTTGCTATCGTCTTTCAATGCCCATCGTCCTATTCGGCAAGTTCTCAACTCCCTTGACGCAAACAGGTGATTACTGAGTTTTTCTGAAGTTTAAATCTCCTTTGCAAAGAGTTTAAACCACTCTAGTACTAGACGGTCAGTTCAGCGAAAATTTCGCTAAGTCTGCTTGACATTTGCCATGAGTAACGCCTGATGTTGCAAGTTACTTTCCGGCTTTTAAGTTATTTTCAGCTTCTAAGGTTCCAACTACTTGACCACCAATGCCAACTCTCAGTGGTGTCGAAAACTTAACCCATCGAATAACACAGTCTCCTTATTGTTAGTCGCTGCCGCTTCCGTGAAAAGCTTTTTTACCAGTTGCACAAGGTTCTCTACTGATTGCACTAGTCTCCATGGGTATCCGAGAGCACGCGCAGCTAAAGTATAAACCAAGGTGGAAATTGAGTTTAAAGACATCGTCATTCAATCCCTGTTGGGACAAAACGAGTATGTAACGTGCGCAAGGCTGCCCATTCTAACTTGGGTGGTGTTGCAGTAAGAGTTTATGATCGCTTGTAAAGTTGCTGTAGGCTCCATTCTTTCTGATTAACATTCCCTCACAGATTGCTCGTACAACTCTCCTCATGTGCTCAACTTCCAATTCTGTGCCTTCACAATTCACCGGCTAGCTCACATCCACTCACGCAACGTAGACGTAGCGCACGATCACACTCTCTCACGAGTTTGGGGAATGACAACGCAGGTATGCCCAGGAAACAGCTCAACATGAAAACTCAAACTGGCACCATTCTCAGGTGCCAACGCTGAATCGAAGACTCGAGAGGTAAGTAGCTCGTCGTTGCAAGTCGGTAACGGCCATCCCACTCCTCCACGAAGCGCTCAACCTCGACCGACGTTCGACAGATTGGATCGCGATCAGAGCCGGCCTTCCGTCATCGAAAAAGTCAGGCTCTCCAACTACTTGGCCGCTTCTTCGTACTTTCTTAATTGACCTTTATTTTTAAGGATCGTTCAACAACGCTGACCAATTCTCCTCCCACCGCTCAAAAATCCCATCTATGTAGCATATTGTAGCATATCATTGAATGTCTGCTGTATTATATGTATATACATAGTGCAATTAACAATGTGATAATCACAAGATTACAGATCTATCAATAAAACTTCTTATATCACAACTATTATCGGTGTAAAAGTGAGTGTTAAAGACGCAGTTCACGACAAAAATGGCTTTTAACAATAAGGCATCTCGCTAGAATAAGCCCCCCAATGAGCACATGGGGACTAGCAATTCGGGAGAGGGGAGTGTTGAAGGTAGAGGCAGAAAAATACGAGCGAGAAAAAAGCTGTGAAGGTTACAGAGTTTACAAAAGGTCGCGATCTCTCAAAAATTGTCAGAGGGTGTAGAAGAAGTTCATGCTGGCATTTGAGCTTTGCATCTATCAAGTCTGAAAACAGTTGACCCGGTGTACAGGATTCAGAAGGCGTATATAGAAATCCGCTGCCCTGCTTTCTATGTTTTCTGCCTTATCCCATTGCACGTGCTTGAACCATCTTTCCAAATATAGGTTTCGAGCAAACCATCCATGCAAAAATAGCACTACTTTTCAGATGTCTCCTGATTCAATTGTTTGAGATACTTAAAAAGATTCACTTGAAAAAGAGATGATTTTCTTCATCGTAAATTCTTCCCTAGTTTATTCCACATTGGTACCAACCAGCAGGGAAACCACCATCGAAGGAAAGAGTGGTTACTCTGCAAGGTGGCACCCGATACGGATCTTTTCCACACTGCCCTAAGGTAACAGCCATTTGGAAAACGTCGTCCATGTTTAGATCAATCTCGCCAGTAATCAACTTATTTATCAAGTTGAAAAAAATAAATTACGTAGAAGTTCATCGATCCATCGCCTAGCAATTTGAGCCGTTCTTGATACGTAAAGGAGTCAATTTCCTTCCGCACAAAACAGCGATGAGTAAAACCTTTTTGCATTCATTCGAGTGTTCAGTAAATGACTCCTTATATGGTGACCAAACAAGTGAACAATACTCCGTAATCAGCCAAACGTAGAGGTTGAGCAAGCGGAAAAGGAGTTAGGAGTCTCGCACTTCGAAAGACTTCAGGTTGAAGTTTGACCTAGCATTTGCTCGATCAGCAATGTCATGTGTGAAGCTCTCGAATCAAGGCTTTCACTGTATTTTTAATGTCCAGAACTCGAATTAGCTTAACTCGCATTAGCTGGGTGCTACACATAGTAAACGTAAAGTCGGGATGATTTTAACCTGACCGACCCCGCTACAGCAGTTTTCTGAATGGAGATTTTCAAATCCCATTTTTTAGGCTATCGCTCAATAAAGTCCATAACGGCCTGCCTGGAGTTTATTGCAATCAATAATAGTGAATAGTTTCGCGCCATCAGCTTAGTAACTGCAAAACGCTTTTGAGGGAATAGAGCCATGAATCAATGAAGGACCGTCACGGTGATCTCGTACATTCTCCTCTTCCACTATCATTGAAAAGCCTTGAAGTAGGGGGATTATCTCGCTTTCTTCGCCACCGATGTACTCCTCTACATCAACACTTCCCTCAAAATTATTAACTGTTCACTATGGGAATGATTTCTGAGGTTTTTCTCTAGGATGAACCTGTAACCCCTCTCCCCTCCCCTCCCCCCCCCCTCC